GTCAAGGACAGTTGCAGGACTTGCAAAGGGAGAAAAGTCAAGGTGAGCTCTTTTGCAACACCGGCGTCACGTTTACGCGTCGTTGAAGCTCACGCCCCTGTAAACAGTGCGATGAGCATCGGCCATCATGCTCAAGATGCGAAAGGTTACAGTTGCAATGCGAATATCCGACAGGTCCGCCAGATCAAGAATCCAGTTTAACGCACAGCCCATATACACAATCTTATGGCGGCGAACTAGATTTCTTGCAACTCGAACTTCTTCACACTTATTCAACCTTCACCTATACCACGCTTTCATAGTCGCCGGCACTCAGAGACTTTTGGAGGGTCACTGTACCAAGCCTAGCACTCAGACATACATACTTGATGCGGTCTCTTCTCGCAATCCCAGCTCTTCATATGGCTCAAACGAGACCGAATGACCGCAGTCACTATGTGTCAGCTGCCCTGGAGTATCACCGGATTTCCTCGGAAACTGCAAGAGACATGCTTGAGAGGTTCTCGGGTGACCAGGATGGTGTGCCTCTGTTCCTTTTCTCTGCATTGAACGTCATTATTGGTATGTGTTGTTGTACGAGTAAGAAGCAGTATGAAAGCTAAGAAATGGGTTCTAGTGCTGGCCACGCCGCAAAGATCCTCAGACGGGTCGATATTAGACGAAGATGCCAGCTTCCACGACTTACTTGCTGTGCTCAAGGGGATGAATGGAATCCTCAGACATTCTTGGGGCAGTCTTTCCGACAGCCCTCTGGCCCCTTTACTAAATCATGGCGCCGAAAGATGGGTATTTCAACAACAACTCAGCCAAGCCGAGATGGGCTATCTATCACCAGATAGCGCCCTGAATGAGCTAGCAGCTCGCCTGAACGCAGAGGTAGCGGATGTGACCGAGCTGGTAGTGTATGCCAGAGTAATCGATATGCTGCGAGATGCGACGCAATGGGCCCACTTATGGGAGGGGGCTGATGCCTTGGTTTGGATATACAGATCCTTGGAAGACTTCATCCCACTACTTGAGCTTAGGACACAAGAGGCACTCAGCGTACTTGCACATTTTGCTGTGATACTCAAGAGGTGCGAGAATCAGTGGTGGCTACAGGGCTGGGCAGTTCAGATCATGTCAGGGGTGTATCAGCAGCTGGATTATGACCACAAACACTGGATTTACAGACCAGCAGCGGAAATAGGGTGGATATTTCCTAATTCTCGCGAATAGAAATCTTTGGCCATGTTATAGTTGCAACTCAGGGCTTGAGAGAAAAACAGAATTCTTGGTGATCTTATCCTTCATGAGAAAGCAAAGCAACCCAATTAAGACCAACATCTTAATCTTCAAGCCATTGAACCAGCAGCAGGAATTTTCTTTCCAAACCTGGCGCTGAAAAACTCCATCACAGACCTTCTGAACCCCAGGACTGGGACCTCAGCCATCAACCGTTCATGCAAGTCAACAGCTGGGCGAGCCCAAATTAGGTCCGCCTCGTAAGGATTCACGAAGCTTGTGCGTTTGAACAACTTCCAGCCACTGAAGGTTGCAATCGAAAGCAGAATCATTCCGTACTTGCTGAAGAACGTTCCAACATCCCAACTTCCGGGCAGGAACACAGCATAGCCCCAAAAGATCTCAATTAGGCCGAGCCAGATGAGCGCAATCCAGGTACCATATGGTTGGAACCAGCCACAGTATGGAAGGTCTTTGCGATTGTAATTTTGTGCTCTCAGTGCCCTGTAAAAGAACAGATAGTTGACACAGCAGGCGATGTAGGTCACCAGTTGTCCACCGGTAGCCAGGTTGATGAACCTAGGACATTGACGTACGTACTTTAATGGATGTGCCCGGAATCGAACCTACCAGTTCAGCACCGTGACCGTGCTCGAGCTGAGCTTTAGGTATGCCAGACATGAGAATCCGATCGAGACTGCGAAACAGTAGATCGGCACACCGTTCTTCGTCGTCTTTAAGAGGATCTTCGGCGCATGACCACCTTGGGCAAGTGCGTACAGGCTCCGTATAGCCGTGAACATGTAGCAGTCGCCAGCCGAGTAAATGCTGGTCAAGAGAAGTGCGTTAACAGCATGAGGCAGGGCATCGACGCCCATATTCCTCATAGCGATCACGTAGACCGATGATGCACTTGTGCCAGTCTCTCCGGAACCGAGGACCTTGACGAGAGTGGGGTCTCTGGCTGACAGCACAATACCGACGCAAATAGCACCCAGAATGAAGAATAAGACAAAGCGAACATACACGCTTCGAAATGCGGTTTTGAGTGACGTTCGCGGGCGTTGAACTTCACCTGCGCAGGTGGCTAGGTACTCCGGCCCAACCATAATGAAATTGGCTTGCCAAAGCGCGGCCAGGAACCCCTGAAATCGCCCGGAAGTTCCAGTGGACAGGTACTCCAGGAACGGTTCCTGATTTTTTCATGTCAGAGGTTGAACGTATATCAAGAACAGGCTCACCGCACAGGCTTAGTCCAATTCCGGAAACCATAGGCATCCTTCTGTGGGTTTCCTCCGCACATTGTCACAAATGTGAAGCAATACAACAGCAAGATCAATATCAACTTTCCTCCAGACAGCCAAAACTCGGCCTCGCCGAAATACTTGACGCCAAAGGCATTGGTAAGTCTAAATATTGGGTCAGTTGGGCAGAGGGTTTTCCAAACTTCAGACGAACCCATAAGTAGCAATGCAGACTGTGATGACAGCTGCTGAAGGAATGTCGTCTCGCCAGAAGGTCAAGACAAGATCCACCGCAGTGATCTCAAACGCAGGCAGAAAGGCTTCGAACACGAAGAAGTTCCAGCCGAGCATGAAGCCCCAGGCTTGGTCAACCCAAGCACCACCGTGCTGAATGAAGGCGGCGCTAACCGGCATAAAGATCGTCATCTCGGCGATGGCATTAGTGACAAACGTCATCATAATTCCTTGGATGATGAAGGCAAGCAGAAGACTTCCGGCTCCTCCATGGAGCAATCCAAAGCCAATGCTGATGAAGAGAGCAGTGCCGATGGACCCGCCGATGGCAAAGAACTGCACCTGGCGAGGACTGAGATGTCTCCTCAAAGCCTCGTTCTCGGAGCCGAAGTCACCATTTGCAATGTCCGTCTGTTGCTCGTCGAGCTTTTCTGGGACCTTCGACATTGGTTCAGACATTGTTAGGTGAGTCTCTGCCATGGCTGTGGCTGTGAAAAGGCGAAAGATTATGCCGAGGATGTGATGAATGAACTAACAGGCCAGTCTGAAGATTTTCTAGCAACATGAGCTTTGATAATGGCTATTTATCTAAGAAGCTCTCGCATTCGCTTTACAATCATCCAAGTTGCTCAGGGGCAATGTGGCACTAACCCCAGCCATGTCAAAGCAGGTTTCCGAAAGAACTACCCCGGATTACCCCAGACAGTTCCTTGTCTATGTGGATATCAAAATAAGGATGATAGGTCCTGTGCTATACCCAATGGTTCATTTCGGATTAGAAACCGATGTTGGTCTGTGATGATCTTGGTTACCGAACCTGGAGGGTTTGCTCTTTTCCTTGATACCTATGCATCAATCTGTCACAATCTTCCATGCTTGACTCGATATTTTCTCAACACAAAGTACGGCTACGCTGCTATCATAGTGAAGTATTACTCCGATCGAAAATTCCCCTATCTACACAGGAACTCTGATAATCCTGCGCGCATTATGGCCGTCGGACTTGAAGCGTTATCGCGCCTTGCAGGGGCTGATTGGGCGCCGGATCATCAACACATCTTAAGCGCACTACCGACGGAGATCACTAGCCTGCTGGTTATCTATGTGGAGTCCATGTTGTTGGGGGATCGCGCAGCGGATGCCGTCCTTCTTTCTTTGATACAGAGTGCTGCCCAGCCATCCTCCGTATATTCCGTCGGCTGGTGTCGGCTTCTCAATCCGAACCTAGTCCTTCCTCGCGGTTCTGTTTCCGATCCCTGCTAGCGCATGCTGGGGTTCGCCAGATAAGCAAAGGCTCTCATGGCAATTACCGCTTCTGGGCATCGAAATTGAAGAGCACCTAGTGTGAATTCACGGCGGCACAAATGCCAAAGCATGATAAGTCGCCGAAGCCCGAACAAGATACGGCATGTGTCACCTCGCCCTCTAAGGACCTGTTCACGTTATAGTATCAAATATGAGATCCACTGAAGCTCTGATGCTTTACGTAGAAATTACCAAATCGTGCAGCGAGGGTTGAGAGACACCACATCTGAAAACGCGGGGTAGATAGCCGCTAATCTGGACCTTCCCTGCCACATCAGATAACAAACATTTCCCCGCACTACAGAGGGCGGACCACTGAACTGTGCTGAGATGCTCGCGATTCCTTCCCAGTGACGAGCATTCTGCTCTGTCTGTCGCAACCGGCATTGAGGTTTGAGGGCATCACGACTGTACTACTACTCACGCACAGCCATGGTAGAATCTTCTCAACCACGGCGTCGGAGAGGGAAAAGAACTTCAAATGCGCAAGACATTCGCTCCCATCACTGGCGCAAGAGCAACACTAAAGATCATTCCAGGTGCCTTCCATGCCGGCGAAGTAAGATCAAGTGCAACGGAGAAGACCCATGCGCAAGTTGCGAGAGACGCTTGGTTAGGTGCCGCTTCAACGACAATGATCAAAAGATTCTGGTATCAGAAACGTATGCAAAGTGCTATCTCAGCCAAAAGCATGTCCGTAATTAATATCTAAATGTCAGATACCTGGAGGAGCTACGGAAGAAAGCAGAGAAGCGTCCAAAGTCACCTCAAAATGGAGCATCACAGCAAAACATAAACGCTGAGCCGTCACCTCTGCCCTTTGAGGACGAATCGCATCATGATGACAGGCGCCCATCGGTAATTGAAGTTCAAACCCTGCCAACGCCAAACACCTACGACATTGGTACACCTTCCAGAAGGCGGTCAGTCGTCAATGTGTCACCAATGACAGTTGAACAAGCGGATGACCATGACTTCGGTTTCAATGTCACCATGGACGAAGACATCACTGGGCCAGCCACCAATAACTCATTGTTAACCCTTGATGGTTCATCAAATAGTACAATGCCTGCTGCTAGGGATATTGCGGATCAACCGGCCTTCTTACCTGGACAACAGCCTGAAGGTCCATTGAGCATCTGGCCTAGCGCGTTCAAGATGGCTTCTCAAACTATCAAGAACACCAGAAACAATCGTCGCAAATGGAGTAAGCTGAAAGAGAAGACCAAGCCACAATTTCATAACTAATAAGTTGCATCAGTCTGGCTTGCCCCGTGGTCAACTTGGTCGTTTACTCTGCGGCTGATGCTCATACTAGGAGAGAGTTTGAAGTCTTCCGCGCCTGCTCTTCCAAAGCAAATGCTCGAGGGTGATATTTACGATCTGCCTTCGAAATCTACAGCAACTCAGTTTCCCGACACTAGGTATCTGCCTTCCTTAGATCATGCGCTTTATCTCTTTAATACAGTCAAGTTCCATCTCGGACAGACGTATCGCTTTTTCGACGACGCCGAACTTGAGGCCCAAATACGCGAGTTCTATTCTGGCCATGTTGCTCAAAAGGCCTCTGAATCCAGACTCTGGTTCACAAAGTTCTTATTAGTTCTAGCATTTGGGACTGCCTTCCATTCACGGCCGGGGTCAGCCGAATCAAGAGATCCACCGGGCGGAAAGTTCTTTGTGCAGGCAATGTCTATACTTCCAGACAACATGTCCCTCTGGAGAGATAGCCTGATGGCAACCGAGGTCTTGGCGATGATGGGGTTATATCTTTTTTCTATTGATGAGAGAGAGTCGGCACACGTCTATGTGAGTTTTGTCCGCCTGAAAAACGCTACGAAGACGTCAGCCTGACTTGTCAGCTTGGTCAAGCGATCCACATAGCAGAGATGGAAGGGTTGCACACCCAACTACCAGAAGACGAGATAGGAGCCGAAACTGTCACGTGGTGTCGCGACCTGTGGTGGACACTTTACATCATGGACCGCCATTTCTCTGCCTCGGTTGGATTGCCAATGTCAGTCCACGACAGCGAAATAACGACACCCATTAACCCACCCGACCACGGTTCTCACGCAGACAGCCTACGAAGTCTTCAAGTCAAACTCTCTCATTTAATGTCTATGATACTTAGAAGTAGGTCTCAGGGGATAGGGATTTCAGGGAATCCGCTGACATTCATGATCAGCCGTCTACAAACCAACAAAAACATCCCTGGCAACTTATGTCGAACAGACCAAGTCAACGTTGCACACTTTGGCCCAGTACGCGCAAGAGCTGGAAAACATCATGAGCATCAAATTTCAAACTTCGGTCGATACGGTTCCCAGAGGCATGCGTCACATCACCCTGTTGTACCATCAGTGCGTCATTGTTGCCACCAGACCCCTACTCCTCTCCATATTGAAGGAACGACTGGATATGGTCGATAAAGTCGCCGATGTAGACTGGGAAAGCATTCTGAACCATACAGCCGGCATCATATCTTCGGGGATCAAGTCGGCCTCCAAAACGCTGCAGGTACTATCAAGCGAGTACAGCCTTCTCGGCAAGTCACCAGAATGACACCGAGTTGAGTGGCCAAGAGGGCTAACATGCATACAGAAGTATTTCTCCCTTATGATCTAGAGTTTACGTACGGCGCAGCACTCCATCTTGCCATGGCAGGCGCAATATTTCCGGACGTCTCTGAAGATCACACAAGCAATCAAGCTGCACATGAGATCCTGTCAGACATGGTCACTAGAGGGAACCGCGTGGCAGCTGTGCGAAGGACTGAGCTACTGCATGTGGAACTGCTATTCAAAAAGCTTGAAGAGCAACTGAAAAGCCGCGGTAATTACAGTCTGAGGCTTCCAAGTGCCATGGATCTGGGCCCGAATCCTGAGGAAGACAGGCAAAACGCGTCAAATATGGAAGCAGACGCAAACGCCGCGGCGATGATCACCGGAGCTGTGGACCTCTTTCCGCTGGTGCCACCCTCAGACTCAGGGAATGCTGATTTTCTCGATCTTCTCGACAGCGTTGGCATCTCTTCGGAAGAGTTTTTTTCGATCACACAGGGAATGGGAGATGTTGAGGGTATTCCGGAAGGTGTTTTGAGGATGTATTGAGGTCATAAAGTCATGATTCTTAGTTGCCTGGAGTAGGTAGCCCTTGTTGGACACGATGCCAGCCCGCTAGGTGGTTCCATTCCTCTGACCAAGCCTAAAGAACCGTCGCGCCCAGGGATAAGTCTTCGGGAATTAAGCTGAGGGTTCCATTGACCCAAGACTGAGCCAATGATTTGGGGCCATTCATCCGTAATCTCGCTTGTATTTAGTGCATCGCGGGACAATGTTCCCCCCCAGGCTTTGGAGAAGAAGCACAGACGAGTGCTACACGAGACGTGCATTAGCGCCCAAACTCTGCCCCGGATCGGCTCCACTGGCTTATAAGCTGAAGCTTGAGCGAGGATTCAATCTGCTAGACGAGTCCTGCATCAGAAGATCCAAGCATCTTTCCTGAACCCGAAGTTTATACGATCCCATCTGACTTACCGATATGCATAGTTCGTATGGAAAGCAATCATGGATATTGGCCCGGCTTCAGCCCACCACGTGGAGATACCTCTCCGATGGGCCGGAATGTCCACTGAGCTACACGAGACCTGCATACGAGCTTCTGATCGAGTTATATATAAAGCTTCACGAGATACGTTGAATGCAGTGATACCAAGTTCAAAATTTCAGTTTCACCATAAGCCTTTTCCCCCTCTTTCATCAGACGCCTACCAAAAAACTCATGGCTGTCACACAGCGAAACGGCGGCTCCTCCGCTCCTGCCATCAATACAACGACAAAAGAAAAGCAACAGCCAACGGTTTCTACCACCACTTATCGCGATGGTTCATCTGACGAGTTCGACTTTGGTGGTTCCTTTGGGACTTTGGGGCTTATGATCGGCTTTCCGCTGTTGATGTGGTACATGTGGATCGGCGCCACATACTACGATGGCCAGATTCCCCTCCCAGAAGACAACCAGTCCTGGTCCGATTTCATTCATCAACTAGCCCACCTTGTTTATAAAGGAGCTTATCCGACCACAAAGGCCTGGATAGCTTACTGGGTCTTCTTCATTGGTGAGGCTCTGATGTACTGCTACATGCCTGGAGTGCTCAGTTACGGCAGGCCGCTGCGCCATGAGGGAGGCAAGAGACTTCCGTATTACTGCTCTGCTTACACCAGCTTCTACGCAACCATCGTCATTGCCGGTACACTTCATATCACGAAGATCTTCCCCTTATATACGATCATTGATGACTTCGGCTCTATCATGACTGTTGCCATCTTGTCCGGCTTCATCAACAGTTTCGTCGTTTATGTTCAGGCCATCATCCGTGGAAGGACTCACAGATTGACGGGGTACCCTATTTACGACTTCTTCATGGGAGCTGAGCTGAACCCGCGCATCGGTATCCTGGACTTCAAGATGTTTTATGAAGTCCGAATTCCATGGTTCATTCTCTTTCTTACAACTAGCTCAGTTGCAGCTCGCCAGTATGAGACCTATGGTTATGTCTCGAAGGAAGTCGTCTTCCTCACTGCTGCTCACTACCTCTATGCCAATGCTTGCGCGAAGGCGGAGCAGATGATCATTTGCAGTTGGTAAGTGGCCGAACCTGTTCTTCTTGGTATGAGGCTTCCAGTCCAGCTGACGTTTGATACAGGGACATGTACTTCGAGAAATTGGGCTTTCTTCTTACATTCTGGAATATGGCCGGCGTTCCTTTCTCGTATTGCCACTGCGCCATCTACCTGGCCAACCATGATCCGTCTGAATACAAGTGGAACCCCTACGCCCTGGCAGCTCTTAGCATCGCCTACCTCTTCTTTTATTGGATGTGGGATAGTGCCAATGGCCAGAAGAACGCCTTCCGCCATACAGAACGGGGCCAGCTTGTAAAGAGAAAAACCTTTCCTCAAGTACCATGGCAAGCTGTCGAGAACCCTAAAGTCATCGAGACCGATGTCGGCGACCGTATTATGGTCGATGGCTGGTTCGCTATCATCAGGAAGCCTAACTACGTCCCTGACATGTTTTTCTCTTTTTCTTGGGGACTTATCACTGGGTTCAAGTATGTACACCCCTAGCCTCGCCTGCTATGGTATCGCGTCACTGACCATATTACCAGGAGTTTCTTTCCCTGGTTTTACTTCGTCTTTTTTATGATTATGATCATCCATCGCACCAAACGCGACGTTGAAAGATGCCGCAGGAAGTATGGGGATGCGTGGAAGCGTTACGAAGAGCAGGTTCCCTACCTCTTCATCCCCGTAAGTTATATGAGCAGATCGAGCTTATTCACCGCAACTGCTGACGAAAGCCATAGTACGTCATTTGAAAGACGCGAAGAGCCATGCGTCTGGACTCCGTGAGCTTGCCAAAGGGTGGGCGACAAGGAGAATAAACAAGTTTCTGTTTTCTCATCCATAGGGTCAGAGGCACCTAAGGGGGTTTCATAGCCTTAATTCTCAAAGACCGCATTTGAGTTTTCCAGCGGCCGAAAATACGCATTGATTTGCATTCGTTTATCCGTGAAAAAGATTATGCATGCGACGTAAGATGTAATCGTGTATCTACGTGAATAGTGCGCGAGGGCTATCGAAACATTCATCCCAATGCTTTGCAGCCGACGCATAGAACTTTTCAAGTACCTCCTTTGCTGCAACTGGAAGATAGATTCCCAACTGTCTACTATCTTCACCCAGGCGATCTAGAATGAAGCTTCGCATCCACGGACTACCACCCTTTGCCTCAAAGCCAGCCACAGTCATTGGCCATGTTGTGCATATCTTGAGTGCTCGAGAGGTAGTGGTCTCGTCGAGAAGAGCGAACAGTCTGTCGCGGTGGGTTTTCTTGAGAGATACCCACTCTTTTGACGAGGGTATTGCACCGGCACTCTGCAAGGATGAGATTCCGAAGAGCAACGCGGCCGACTGATAGATCTGACCCATCAGCAGAAAGCCCTCAGCCGACGACTCCATCTCATTGGACCACGTCTCTGGAGAGAAGTCCAGAATGCTATCCAATACGTCTTCTGCTTCATTTTGTATCGGACCGATGGAGCTTCCCGTGTTCTCAAGTGTGGCCAAGAAACGGAGACGATTGATGTGGACGATGTGAATGAGCAAATCGATTGGGCATGGTAATTGCGGATAGTAGCCGATCGAGAACACATCTCTTATCACGTCTCGTATTCGGTAATTATCCAGCGGAGATACTTGGTCGTCAGCTGGGCTCGTAGTGTTGGCAAGATTTTCAATACTACCCGCGAGTGAGTCAGTGAGTTGCCAAATATCGGCTCTTGAAATACACAGAAGAAACGAAAGAATCGATCAAGTCTGTGAGCACTGACATTTTACAGAACAGAACCAGAGTCTTCAGATGCGGCGACTTGAGGCAGAACTCTTCCCAACCACCACGCAAAGCTACCAATGCTGCAAAGCCTCTTATATGAATACGCCAATTAGGTGCTGTGGCACCACCCATCAGCTGAAAGGAATTAGTTTGAAGCTCTTCGAAGTTTTTTTGACGATAGTGGGGGGCTAAATACATCGCCAAAGATGAACGTGACAACGCCGGCCAAAGTGGCGTCGGATAACCGGGTAGTCTCATTCGCTATCTCCTCGTTTAAGGCTTGAATAGCCGTATGTCGGTGATGGTAGGCTCTGGCTCTCACTTCGGCCGCATAAGGATCATTTCTGCTCGGAGATAATTGTGACATGCGGTGCTCGATGGCCATCGCGACCAGGCCATGGCGCCGATAAGGCTTCATGGCGTGTATGTGAGACGCGGGCACGACCCAGGGACTCTTGGTCAGCTGATTGTCATAGAAGTATGGATAGACATGATTGTTCCCTGCCAAGAGTAAGCTTACATCCTCGACCCTTTTTAGGTCCAGATACGGTCGCGCAGCGCCTATAAACATCGAGTCACACATTGTGGAACTTACAGTAGAATGAAGCCTCTGCAATATCACACGTCTCTGTCCGAAGCTCCTGTCCAGGAAATATATGAACGAGCTGTTCCTCGGCCGTTTTGCTTGGCGCTGTATTCTTCTTTTCGCTGGGCTTATTGGTCTTCGGCGGCGCGATGGACTTATTGGCTGCTGGCTTCCTGCCTCTCCAAGTCCGCGTCGTGATCTGATTGGGGGCGACCCAAGTCAGAGGCTTCACGTTCTCGTACCCAGGGCACACAATGCCGCTAAGCTTACACTTGGAGCATACGGGACGGGCCGAGTCGCATACTACCCCTCGGCGCTGACATTCCCAGCAAGCCCGTTTCGCCATGTTGTTATCACGGCTCTCGGCGCGTTCGGCGATGGGTGCCACCGTAGTGAGGACGAGATGACGAAGAGGAGGCTTGTACGCTTTGGGCTATTGGAGGTAGTGAAATGAAAGACGGAGATTTGATAACGTATCCGTTCCAGCGAAACTGCCCTCTGGAAGGCGGGATGGTGGGTCGTATTATCAGATCTCTCTTGCGTGTTTGTGCAGATTTGGTGTGAGACATTGAGTGGCGAA